GCTGTGCCCAGGGGGTTGCAGGGCTGTGCCCAGGCTGGGGGGTTGCAGGGCTGTGCCCAGGGCAGGGGTTGCAGAGCTGTGCCCAGGGGTTGCAGGGCTGTGCCCAGGGCAGGGTCTGACCCCCCATTTCTGCCCTCCCAGGCCAAAGAGCCCCCCCCAGGCCCAGCCCCCCCTGCAGCCCCCGACCCGGCCCCAGGTGACCCCCGGCTGATCCAGGAGCTGACAGAGGAGGTGGCCAAGCAGGTGAGGGGACACAGGGCACGGGACAGGGGGGTGAGGGCTCTGACACACCTCCCCCAGCCCCTGATCCCCCCAAATCCTCCCCTCCAGGGTGACCTGGTGAGGCAGCTGAAGGCGGCCCAGGGGGACAAGGCCCAGGTGGACACCGAGGTGGCCAAACTGCTGGAGCTGAAGCGGCGCCTGGCGCTGGCCCAGGGCAGGACCCCCGAGGTGCCCAAGGGCAAGAGGAAGAAGTAGCTCCAGTGCCCCCAGTGACCGGACTGGGCCGTACTGGGGAGCGGCCCCGGTGCCCCCCAGGAACCAAACTGGGCCGTGCTGGTTGTGGTTACGTGTGTTTAATAAAATACAAGAGCTGTACAAAGGGGTGTGGGAGCTGTGTCCGTCTGTCCATCCCCACAGTGTCCATCTGTGTCCACATCCATCCGGCCCACAGTGTCCAGCTGTCCATCTGTGTCCACCTGCATCCAGCCCACAGTGTCCAGCTGTCTGTGGGGCTGCCCCCAGTCTGGGGGGCAGCAGAGTCCTTGTCCCCAGTGATGGGACAGCGCTGGCACCTTCACCTGGGGCAGCCCCCACACCTGGGGCAGGGGGACACTGCAGTCCAGGAGGGGGGTGGGCCCCTGTCCTGGCCCCCACACATGGCAGGTAAAGGATGTGCTCAGTCCACGTCCCACACCTGGGGCAGGTTAAGGGTGTGCTCAGTCTGTGTCCCAGCCCCACATCCAGAGCAGGTTAAAGGATGTGCTCAGTCCATGTCTCATCCTGCACACCCGGGGCAGGTTAAGGATGTGCTCAGTCCATGTCCCACATCCAGGGCATGTTAAGGGTGTGCTCAGTCCGTGTCCCAGCCCCACATCCAGGGCAGGTTAAAGGAGGTGCTCAGTCGATGCCCCAGCCCCACACCGGGGGCAGTTGGAGCCCCCCCCGCGGGGC